GCTTTGCCTCCATGTTCCCTATTACTGTGTTTCTTTAAGTGAGTCCACTGCCAGTCTTCATTATTTAATCAATGTTAGCATTTCCAGTTTTCCATCAGAATGGTAGTGGTGTGTGTTTGAGGTCACTTAGTGCCATTATTTGTAATGGTATGTGCTTTTCACAATAGGTTATTTGGGAGCCTTTATGTGGCAGTGGCTAAAAATTCAGTGGGACCTTTTCAGAGATGGGAAACTACTTCTAGCCTGTTAATGAGGTTGTTGTTAAAATTTACTAAGTTTACTGGTTCAAAAATTCTAGAAAGAAGGATATAAAGTTAGAAAAACAGCCCAGAATTCTCTTCCATCAGAAATCAAAATGGTATAGATAACAGGTAAAGCCCCTTTCAAACAAAATCACCCAAAATAGCCTATTGGTAATAAATTAAAAGTATTTTAATCCATGAGTTGTAAATATTCAAGATTAATAAATGGTCTTTTAAAGCTAGTGTTTTTAATATCTTGTCTTTTTAATGCAAAAAGAATCTGAGAGTTGATTTGATCTTTCAATACTGTTAATGTGGTGCCCACACTATCCCTTTACATGCAGACCTGTTTTGGTGGGGGGTGGTAAACAGTTTATTCTAGGAAGAGCAACTCACTGAGATAAAACCATTTTAAAATTTACACATGTACTGTTCATTGTTTCTAAGAACAGTTTAGAGATTTAGCTTTTTAAATTTACATAGTTATCAAAGGAATAAAGCCAACCACAAAATAAGAATCAACAGAATGCAGTAATCCAGTCATAAAGGACAGTCAAATGTGCTTGCACATATTCAAGAAATCAATCATCTAAGTTATAAATAGTTCATTTGTGTCCTTTTTTAAGATTCCACATATAAGCGATCAGACCTTCATTTTTTAAATGGACAGAGATGGATCTGTAGCTGCACATCAAGGGCATCTGCGCTATGCTTACTAGGTATCTCAGTGCTAAGGTTGGGATCCCCAGAATAGCTCATCCAGATATTCTACATTAGAACCACTTTTGAAACAAATGAGGTTTTCAGTACATAGTACACATAAAATCTTGGAGTTACCTGGAAGGAATGGCAATCAGGAAGAGCATTTGTACCCGTTGTCATTTGGTTCACATCTTTGCATGACTGATTGTTGTGTTGTTAAAGAAACTGAATACTTACTCTACTTGTGCAGGCATTAAGTATTATTTACCTCCCCAGAGCACACCAGCCTGAAGAGAAATGTTCATAACCCTAAGCAAGCAAATCTGGATGAGAATGAAAGCCAAAATAGTGTTTGAATTTCAAACGTTGTCCACCCAATATGAGTTAACTGGCTATGGGTTGGAGGTGGGTGGGAATGCCACTGAGCAGAAATGCTTCTGAAATACCAACATGTGACTGAAATATAAATGGAGATGGAGGAACCCCACAGTGGAGCTCTCCTTCAGAGTCAGCCTTCCGAGTATGGCAGTGGGCCAGACACTTGATTGTCCTTGCTTAAAGTGTAATTATGTGAGCTTTCTATGTTAAACAGTTTTTTAGTGGTATATAAATCTTGTTAGGTTGCACATGTATTTCTTTGTCCCCTGAAGTCTTTCTTTGTAGACAGCTTTGCCTTATGGACTTTCAGTCACCTGAAGGAATACTGGAAAGTAAATCTGTACTCTGAAGTTTTAAGTATGTTCTATTAATGGGTTTCCTGTATTCCATCCTTATGTGCCTTTTGGTTCTGCTTTTCCTTTCGTATCCCATATGTTGATTGTGGTTATGATTAGTCTTAGAAGGTAAATTGCGCAGATCTGAAGACAGGCTGAGAGTGGTCATGGACTTTTCTCTTCCTCCCGGCTATGTTTCAATAGATTTCCATTCTACAAAGTGGTAGGAATGACCACCTCATTTATTTAAATACAGCATAATAGGAGGGAACTAACATTTGAGATCCTTATCTTTGGTGCTAAGAGCTTTACATATATTAAAATTACTCTTTAAAATGGGGCTCAAAAGTTCAAGTAATTGACCAAAGTCTCAGCTAATAGTAGCAAAGCCAGGATTCAGCCTCGGTCTATCATGACTCCAGTGGGCTCACTTCCCCACCACCATGTTCCCTTGGCCTTGAGTAAGCACAAGTAGGGAGAAAAGTAACGTGGGGGAGGAAAAGATTTGTTAAAACTAGTCAAACATGCAAGTTTTTGTACACCACATAGAACAGAAGCAAGACAGAAGCTTAATAGTAGCTAATAGAGCAGACTTCAGTCATTCTGATGCAGTGAAGTAGCACCGCCCAGAGTAGAACATCTGATACTGTTTGTGCTGTGATGGTGGCTTTTTTTTTAAAGGAAGCAGTGAGAACAACTACTCTAGTTGTGTTTCAAACTAAAGGAAGAAATTGATGAAAATAGTCTGTATTTGAACCAATTTTCTAACATTCAAGATTTTATAATGAAGGGAACATTGCATATAATTAGATAATGTGTCTTAGACTTGAGGAAAGATTTCCAAGATCTGAATTTTAAAAAGAGAAAATAACACATGTTCATAATCATAATTCATTTCAAATTTAGAAAAGAAAAAGCATCCAAAAAATGAGTTGGCTTGCGTAGAGTGCTCTGTTAAACTTTTTTTTTATGCCGTGTATAAAAATACAGGCACACGCAGGATTTTATCGAGACTGGAATGGCAGAGTCCTGGAGCTGGGCTTATAAAATCAAATCATACAGAAGGGCATGAGGACTTAGCTGTGACCCTGAAGAGTCACTCATCTCTAGGGCTTCAGTTTTCTCATCCAAAGAATAAGCATCATACCTGTCTTGTCGATCCCATAGATTTGAGAGGTTTGGAAAACAGTATTGTGATTTGTAATATAAAAATGTATGTAAATCATTGAGTAAACAAATGCTTAAGGTTCAAAGCAAGAAAGGGAAGGGCACTGTACTTGAAACGCTAAAATATTCATGGATGTCCTAATATGCCTCTCAAGATTATTCCAAGGAGAGTAGTCCTTCAGTTTGAAAGGGCAGAACCAACAGCATTAATAAAAAATTAAGCTCCAAGTAGCTGAGCGGCTGATAAAATGGCAAGATTTTTTTCCCGTTCCTCCAGGCAGATGTGTAGTAGTGGGTTAGCGATTCAGTTCTTTAATTTCAGGAGAGGATGTCAACCCCACTTTGATTCGTAAAGTAGAAATATCTGCCTCCGAGAGATGAAACAATATCCACAATCCCAGGCCCCTGCTCCCCGGATTTGGGTGGAAAGCTCACTTCTAAGAAAGTATTCATTAGGAATGTAGACAACACCCACTCTTGGTGTGTGTGGAATGTTAGGAAAAGCTTTGCTGCTTCTAGGCAGCTGGTACCTTTTTTACGTTGGCTGCCAAGACATTCAAAACAATACCTTATAGATGAATTTTAATTACTGTGTAATATTCTACAGCATGTATTCTATTTTCTTTTGTCATTTTTCTGCCTTTTTTTTTCTTTGCCTCATTTTCTTTTACCTGCTTATTTTTGCTGACTTTCATTTATTTTTACCATATGTAAGCTATATGAAGTTCTTTTGGTGATAAAGTATAAGTTAAATTATCTTGCCACATTAAACCTCAGGCTTCTAGGTGTAAACCCCTTGTGTGTAATATAAGAATGCTGAAATATGATTACAGAGTCCTGTATCATATGGAGCAAACACCGAGAGATGATGGACTGGACATGGGAAATGTCTGACGTTTGACTTACACTGGTAAAACTGAAGAGACACACACACAGCAAAAGTCTGCAACCTTTTACAGTTTAGTTTGTGAGAAAGTAAGCATCATTACATGATGGAATGGACGTAACCCAGAAACTAAGCTGGTTCTACCCTCCCCTCACCCCTGCCTATTTTTGGATGGAAGGGAATGGAGGTTACCACCAGAGGAGAAGTTGTTTCTAGGTCTGCCACTGACTAGCTGAACTGAAACTGGTAAGTCGAGTTTTTCTGAACTTTAGTTTATTTATAATACAGGGAATAGACCAGAAAATCTCTAGTTTCTTTTAGCATTAACTCTTTTTTCACTTCAAAAACAATTTATGTTACTGCTGCCACTGCTCAAAGAAATTTTTTGAAACTTTCTGGAACAGCTTCCATACCCAGTTTTATGAAGTTCTGAAGAAAACTGAACTTTATAGCCACGTTTCATTTTGAACCAAATATGGCAGTAACTTGCTTGTTCACATCAGTTTATTAACCTCAAGTGACTTGGCTATTTCTACAACTAAAATCTTCCTCAGCAGGAAACTTGTCCCTATTAAACATGTATAAAATTTTAGGTTCTGCTCCAAGAAGCAATTCAAAAATATTTTGAACAATGGCAGCATTGTTGGCATTAATATATAGCTTTCCAAGGGACAAGGCACATTGACACAGTATACTGTTTCACAAGACTTTAAAGACTCATCCTAATTAAAGAATTGTTAAATGTGAGAAGGCTTTAGAATTGATGAAATATACAGTATATGTTTTTAAAAGCCATTAGTAATATTTAATAGATATATCTCAAACTACCTTTTTCTATTTGAACAATTTTAAAAGCTTAGATTAGGACACATCTCTTAATTGTAAAGCTTTCCTTATTTTATCTGAATGGCAGTGGTACCCAAACCTGGATGCACAATGAAATCACCTGGGGATATGTTTTTTAAACACTGATGCCTGGCCCCCACTACCATATGTTGTATTGAACTGCTATGGAATGTGACCTGGGCAACAGTATTTAAGTCTTCACAGGCGATTCTAATGCGCAGCAAAGTTAGCACTGTACTTCAGTATCTATCTTTTCTGATACCACTTCATTGAAGTCTTCTGAAGTAGACAAAATATTCTCAGAGTTAAACATACAACGGGATGGGAGGAAACAATATTCTGGGAGAAGACAACCCTGCTGTTCACAGCCTATTTATAGTTCAATTTTGGTTTTGATATGGAAAATTTTCATTAAACAGTCATGTGATACTTTAACTTGTCATATTAATTACATCATTTAAATCCTGAACTCAAAAGCATTACTGCCAAGATGGAGTGTCCAAAAAGATGGTCATGGGTGCGTAAAAGTGAATTAAATACATGTCAATTCAAATGCAAGTACACCTCAGAGACTTCGGGGGTTCAGTTCCAGACCACCACAATAATAATGTGTCGCAATAAAGTAAGATGGATTTTTCTGGTGTCTCAGTGCAGGCAAAAGTTACGTTTACACTACACTGTATTAAGTGTGCTGCAAGAGCATTATGTCTAAGTAAAGTGTATACCTTAATTTAAAAATATTTATTGCTAAAAAAATGCTGTCAGTGAGTTGTAATCTTTTTGCTGATGGAGGGTTTGAAATACTGTGAGCATTACCAAAAAGTGACACAGAAGTGAGCAAAAAAAATGATGTTGGAAAAACAACAACTGATTGTGCTGGTAGACTTGCTTGACCTGGGGTTGCCAACTTTCAGTTTGTAAAAAACACAGTAAAGCGAAATGCAGTAAAATGAGGTATGCCTTAAGTCTCCTTGATGCACTTGAGTTTTCCAAAGGTCCGTTGGTATGATGAAGAGAGAAGTGCACTTGCAAAGGGAGAAGAGTATCTGCTCCTTCTCATGAGGACTGGCATCACTGCACTGAGTTCCCCCAGAATGTGACAGGTTTTAATTATGGAGGACAATGATTACAACAGGCTGAAGTACAGACAAGTCACAGCCACAGAGGACTTGTGCTGTCAGCAGTGAAGCTGTAATGAAGGGAAGAGCTGCTGCAGTGGCTTTGGAACTAGAAGTAGGGTTTCTCTTGCTTCCCCAAAATGTGTTCTATAATGCCCTCAAAAAGGCCAGGAGACATAAAAAAAATCTCAGTATACTTTGTAAATAAAAGCCAAAATTTTGTCTTTGGGAGTTTATCTGATTAATTGTAATTAAACATGACTTGTTTGTATACAGTGAGCAGAGATGCACTCTGCAGAGTGAAGAATGCTAGGTGTCAGGTAAACCCCTGGTAATGAACCAGGTGCCCCCATCCCTTATATTCTGGCTTCACAGCCACCTCCCCTACTGGAACTGCCCCTTTAGAGTCACTGTATCAATTCTGGCAGATTCTTCTTGCCTTATGGTGGGCAAGAGTGTCAAGTGCCACAACATGATGGGCCAAGCAAATTAGGCAAACCGTTGCCCACCGTATCTTGCAATGTGACATCTGTCCTGTTAACTCTATGAACAGTCCTTGATTTCCACACCTGATTTCTTTTCTGCTCACCTAGCCCTTTGTCTTTATATACTTGATATTTTCAGTCTTACTTAAGAGGAGTTCTGAGTAGACCACTGCTCATCCTGAATAGTTTCCAAGCCTATTTCAGAAATATTTTGATGTCTGTCACCTCTAACTCAGTAAATATAAATGAACTCAAATCTAGGTGAAGAAAGAGTGATCTGGAGGGAATCTATCAATGGCATGGCTCAACAATGTATAGGTACCAGGAATATTTGGGGAAATTTGTCACTATGTCTGTAGCCCAGAGATGCCTGAAACAGGAGTGGCAAGAGAGTATTGGGAAGGCTTGGGAAGATGGGCAAAGGCCAGATCAAAGGACTTTGAATGTTATGCTTTGCACTTTCGTCTTTCTAGTAAGAGATACGAATTTAAAGCAGTCATAAGGAAGTGATGAAATTCACATTTTCTGAAAGCTCTCGGCTAGCAGCATGGAAAATGGACTAGAGGGAGGCTTGAGAAGACAAGCAGTAAGGTAGGGAGGATGGGAAAGGAAGCTGTTTAGAAGGTACCATCAATAGGACTTCATGAAAGACTGGATATAAGAAATAAGGTCCAGAATGGCCCTCAGGTTTCTCCTGGCATGAGTTAACGGGTTGCTGGTAATGTCATTTGTCAAGCTAAGAGGAACAGATTTTAGACAGAGACCTCAATTGGATGTTCAGGAGGAAATAGCCAGCAGGTAATTATAGAAGCCCATCTAAGACTTTCAGTCTAGCCTAGAATAATAGATCTGGTAGTGAACACCATGTGTGTGGGTGAGATTATCTAACAATTACGTTGAATCAAAATCCTAACAGTAAATACAACTATTCTGTGAGGAAAAGAGCCCCATGGTAAATACGATCTTTAAATGGGAACACTGAAGGAAAACAAGGTAGACTAAGAAGAGCTGGTCAGGCAGGAAATAAGCCAGAAGCGGTGTGTCATGGAAAGCCAAAGGAGAATTTTAAGTAGGGTGACCACATGAAACAATGAAGTACTGTATGATTTGACTACTGGGCTACTGGAGACCTCAATGAGAACGGTTTCTAAGCCAGAGCTGACTGCAAGCTACTGAAGAGAGACAGAATGAGGGGCTATTAACTGCTGGCATGAGGAAACCATGGTGTGAAAGGGGAGAAGCTGCCGAGTACAGGAGGAAGGCACACCCACCTCCTTCCTGAGACGAGTGTTAGAGGATGGACGCTGGAATAAGTAGATGCTCTTACAGCAAGGGGTCCAGAAATGGGAGTTGACAGCTCATGACCTCTGTTCTCTATAAAGAGGTATACTGGTCATTTGGTAAGGAGTGTGGTGAAGGCTGGAACTGTTGCTGGAAGATGACCCAAGGAATAAATGAGCAGACTGCTGATCATTGTTCAAAAGCCTGGTGAGACTGGAAAATATATTGGCATCAAGTCATTGTTAGGTGGTTCTCTGACACACCAGACACAAAAAGCAAATACAAGTTATAATGATTAACAGTTTGGAAGGGCTGAGATTAAAAGCCATACCACTGATAACTTCAATTGGAAGAAACATTCTTATCAATATATTCTGTCAACATGTATGTTTCCAAATCTAGACCTTTGGTGTATTTATTGAGACAGAAGAATGTTCAGGTAGAGTGGTGGAGGTAAACAAGTAGCCTTGGCTTAACCTAATTAGAACCAATTACTAATAGAACTGCTCGCTTAAAATGCCATTAGCTATCCTCCATATGACTTAGATTGTTAGCAAATATGTTAACAAAACCAATAGATGTCTGAGTGTCTAATAAAATGCTGCACTTGGGAAGGGTTGGGCACAGAGTAAGCTATAACCTTTCCCCTAAAAAAGAATAATGGAATTCTAAACTGTCCAAACAAATGAAACTGCAAAAAAGACAACACAAAAAAGTGCCAAGGCATACAGTACAGATTTTGAAAGCTGAAGTATTTCAGAAATGTTTTAAAAGGAGGTAGAATTTGAGATTAACCCCCAAATGGGACGAGAATCAAGTGAGTTTTTGAGCATTTATTAAAAAGTACCATTAAGTATGTTTATGGAAAAAAGATTACAAAGGGAGGTGTTATAAAAATCTGCTGACCTAAGTAGTATCTGATCAAAAGCACAATTAAAGGCCACAAAAAATATTAAGTATTAGTTTATTTAAATTTCTAAAAGATGTAAAAATAGACAACTTTTCTTTGTAGTAGAAAGAGCATTAAGATGTGGAATCACAGGGCCTAGTTTGGTGTGAAATTAGGAATCATGTAATCTCTCTGGTAGCTCCACTTCCTAATTTGTAAAAGGGCTAGAGTATTATTTGTTCTAACCCTCAAAAAGTGTGATTGAGAAACAGATGGTCTGATTTTAAATATAAATTGTTTAACTGTGGCCAACATTAAAATAGTAATTCATTACGGTAAGTAGAACATTATAAGTTCATGACACTAATTAGAAAGGAAGTAGAAACATGCAGATCATTGGCCAAATATTACTGTAACGGAACAAAACAAGTAGAATTTCTTCACGCAGTAGTTGGGAAGGAGAAATAGGACTTCTATTACTTCTTAACTAAAACAATGTGTCTCTACTAGCTTTTGAATATTATAAATATCACCAGAGACCAAAACACAAGATAAAATTTCATTTCTATATTTCAGAAAACCTACTTGAATACACTTTGAAACAAGAGTACAACAAAATAGAATATACTTCAAATGTTGAATATACAAACTATTATAGTTCAAATCTGAACACTGGTACTTTCCCTCTTAAACTAAAAAAAAAAAAGAAAGAAAAGAAAAGAAAAAAGAGAAAGGAAGAAAACTCCAGGTATCAGAGCTACCTGACAAAAATTCATGCTGAGTCTTAACTTCCAAGTGACAGGAGAACTGAAACTGATATGTCTGCAAGATGCCAGGGCTGAGTGACACAGGCATGTTATAGCAAAAGGCCAGAGCCAACTGTTAACTTGTCCACAATTAAGAAACTGACAGACTTAAACTACCATATAAAATGTTACATGTAAATTCTATAACAATACTGTGCTAGGTACAAGATTTTTAAAATTTTTCTTTTAATAAAAAAAAGCTTTACACAAACAAGCCATTAGCTTATTTCAATAAAGAAAACCGAAAATTAGTCTAAGGCCTTTGTTTTAAATCAGCTTAAGCTATATGATATAAAAAAAACCACACTAGATCTTTTTTGCTATCCTCTTTCTGAAGCTTTTGGATCCATTCTTCAATTCACATTCTAAAATACCTATATTAGCAGTCTTCACATAGCACCAGTTAAGTGAGTTCTGTGTGAACACAGTAATAATTGCTGGTATGCATATAAAATGCATCAAAAATTGCTATATGTAACAATGAGATCACCCATCCCAACCCCTCCCCACTGAAAACCATATAACCTCTTACAGAATGTTAGTGTTCCAAGTCTTAGTGTAACTTGATATTGTAGTGAGTTGCTTGGTCCCTTTCAATCCTTTTTATTGACGGGTTCAGTTGTTTCCTACTGTAAGAGGCAGTTTTCTGTCAGCATCTCAATATGTAGTTCATTTCCCACTGAAACATGGGATAGGTAATTATTTCCAGTAAGTTTGATTGTTTTCTTATATGCAATAAAAATGTTTTAAAGTCTTTTGACTTCTCTTGATGACATCCTTGCAAATATTTATGTTAGTATCACCAACATTCTACAGCCCATGGGAGAGCTATTTTATTTCTCACATGTTACCAGTCCTTCTGTTTTCATAGTTACAGGAAGGGCAATAGCTGAAGGCGCACTGACAACCACCACATGGGTCACCGTCTTATTTCCATCTGCCGGTTTTTCTTCTTGTACCAGCTGCAAAGTTTTCACATCATGTTCCTGCTTTTTTGCCACTGCTTCTGATTTAACCTCTGGCCCCTTTATGACCGCACTGATAACTCGGGGAGGAGTCTGGCCAGACGCCTGTTGAGTAGGCACTGATAGTCTCATTACAGGTGTACCGTGGGCTATTGAAACAGGGGTAAGTGCTCTCACAGCCAGTGGGGTTCCAACAATGTTAATGCTCCCTGATCCAGTCAGATTTGACTTTGTCTGCAGTTGACACTGTGCAAGTTGTGTAGCTGGGATGGTAATAATTTTGGCAGGCTGCATGGTGATTTTGTCTCCATTTTCAGAAGAGGCTGGCATCACAGTAGGGATTGTCTGAATAACTACCTTTGGAGAGGTTGCTGTTGTTGGGCTAGTGCTGGTTATTAACGGTGCACCTGCATTAACTGACTGAACTGCCACGGTTGAGATTTTCTGACCCAATGATGTCATCACAACAGGTACTTGCATTGCCACACGAACTGTCCTAGTAGATTAAAAAAATAAAGTTGATTATATTCAATGCTAAATTATAAAACAGGTCTCTTGAGCAAAAAGATGAATGCAAATCCAAATGTATAAAACTAGTGCTCCCGTATTTTACAGATGTACCAAAAATCCCTGAAGTTTATAAAATACCATGAAATGAGTATGTTTTAAAAACTAACGCCTACATTTATTTCCATCTATAAAACCGTAAAAACCAATTCAGGTCATATGAGACATCTACTTTAACAACAACAACAACAAAATACATTTAAAACATCAAGCACTTTTCAAAGTTTTGACACCAACAGGTTCTTAGAATGCAAATATTAAAAGGGGAACAGATCACTTTTGCCAAGGGGATCTCTAAAAATTAAATACAACTAATGGTTTCCCCCTCACCTACCTTGGAGCTGCAGTTGCTGATACAGATGCGGTAGTAGGAGGAGACCTGGACGAAGCATCATGACCAGGGGAAGTGATGTTCACAACTCTAGCTACTCCCTTCTCTGCTCTGGAGCAGTTTAGAGGAGACGAGTTTTTCCCACCACGAACAGAAGTGGCTGCCTTCAAAAGACTTTCAGCAGACAGTGATACTCGTTCTAATGATTTTTCATCAGTAGCTGATGCTAAATCTTCGTTACAGGTTTCAGTTTTGTCATCATCTATGACCACTATGTTTTTGGGCATATCCTTGAACTGATATACAAGCCTCTGTCCTTCAACCTTTGCAAGAATACCCCTTTGGTAATAATATCTGTAAGGAAAAAGTACTAAATAAATCAAGTATATTACATTTGTCCCCTCAAAACAAAAAACACCATGTAGAATGGATATTAACAGAAACATTCACTTATTCCAATAAGAGACACGGAAGAGCTCTTACTGCCTGGATTGCTCAAAAGGCTGAAATTGGAACCTGGTGCCGTAAGTCCTATAACCTTGAGATCTGTAATGTAGCTAAAAGCTCATTTTTTTCCTTACAGGAAATAATTTAACCTAAATACAGAATTATTTTACTGTAGAGTTGGCTCTCCATATCCACAGCTTCCACATCCATGGATTTGACCAACTGTGGATTGAAAATACTTGGGAAAAGATTCCAGAGAAGTTCCCAATAGAAAAACTTGAATTCGCCATGTGCTGGCAACTCTAAATGGCATTTATATTGTGTTAGGTATTATATGTAATCTAGAGATGACGTAAAGTATATGGGGATATAAGTGGGTCAAAAGCAAATACTTCATATAAGGGATCTGAACATCCATGGATTTTGGTATCCGTGGGTGTCCTGGAATCAATCCCCCTCAGATACTGAGGGAACAAATATATTTTACAGACACTGGTGAAAGTTCAGTTCTGATTTACATAGGTTAGAAAAACGATCTGATATTACGTGGAAAAATTACCTAAGTTGTGCTTAGTAGAAATGAATTTGTGGGTCATTTACAAATACCCTTAATTAGAAGAAGGCATGTACATTACAAAGTTATGTAGTTTCTCAAACTGACAACTGAGGGTAAATTTTCGTATCAAGGTAAATCCATTATAACAAATTTGCAGGAACTAAAGAACAAATTCACAATTTGGAAACTGTAGTTTATTTGGGTATAATTTTCTTAAAGATGCACATTTTCTACAAAAATGGGACTTTCCAAAAGTGTTGAAATTTTAGACATCAGACCAAAGTCCTCTCTCCCCAACAGCCTCCAAATCCAAAAAGCTCCTACAGAAAATCCCCCCAAAATAAAAGTTATAAGTAAGGGATTTTTAGAGCTTCTCTTTAAAACAGTTAATAGACAATTGTTCTTACCTCAGAGCTCGTCCCATAGTTTCATAGTTCATGTCTGGCTTGTTCTTATGCTTCCCCCAGAGCTTAGAGACAGCTTTTGAATCCACAAGCTTGAATATGCCTTTTTCTCTCTGAGTCCACTTAATATACCGGGGACAAGTATTTTTATCTTGAAGTAGATCTAACAGAAACTCCCACAAATAGGTTGTGTTTCCTTTGAAAACAGTGATAGACACTGATTAAAAATTCATCAGCATAATTAAAAGCAAATATTTTCTTATGCTGGATAAAAAAATCATTTATTACTGGTAAAGCACAAATATACTGAGAGTCTATCGACTCTATCGGCACTCATTTGAAATTGTCCAGTAAATAACAATACAAGAAATAAGTAACAGTTGAAACTATAAGCTGTATCACAAGACCATGCATAATTATGTTCCAGATGAATGACAGAAAAATAATATCTAGGATTTCAGGGGTGAAAATAAGGTGGATTGGAAAGGAGGATCATTAAGTCAGAAGATGGCTAAGATTTGCATAGAAGAAAAGGAGGGAATCCGGATAGGCAAAATAAGAGCATCGCTTTTCTTCAGGAGGGGAAGGGAGGAGACAGAAGAGTATATCAGGCTTTTCAGGCTGCTGTTTTTCTCTCATTCCATTCATAAACCTCTAGGTGCAAAGGTTCTTAAACTGATGAAAGAAAAGAAGAGAGTCCTGAGAAGATTAGAATACATATGCCTCCACTGAGCCACCAGGCCATCTCCTAGGGAGATGGGATAGATGCACTGCCCTTAACTATCCTCACATCCAGCTCCAAGTCACAGGCTACTTGAGAAGAGCCCTGAGGGTGACAGGGCTTCCAAATCAAGCCACTCCTGCTACTCAATTGAAATGCTGACATTCTTCCTCCAGCATTTCATTTTCATACTAGATTTCCCTCAAAATTCAATAAATCTATTAACCCATAGCTGCACACAAGTGTGCATCTCTTGACCTAAAAAGATTAACCTCCAACTTCACATTGTTACATTTTTATTTCTGAGGCCCAAGAATATCAGCATCAATACCTACAAACTCTCACTATTAAACCATGCATAATTTTCACCTACAACTATATCAAGATGTGCAGCTAGGGCATTATTATTTTGTTTATGACCTGGAGATTATCAGGCCCTATAAACTGGACAGGGTAAAAGTGAGCAGAGAACTTATTCTGGAAGAAATTTTTGTACAAAACAGACAATGCCTTGTACACTGTAGGGATGTGAATGCTTCTGTGTCTGCTGAATTAATGAGACTCATCAGCATTCCTCAGGTTATCATTAAATGCTTCACCCCAGTCCCATTCCCAAGTTAAAATTAATAATTCAATTTCTAGTTTTAAGTAAAACAGAATTCAGAAAGCAAAGCCTTCTTCATCAGACAAAGTAGTTCATTAAGTCTATGAAGACATTATGATCATAATTGCAGAAGAGGAAACAGTGGCGGGATTTTTAATCCCAGTGTGACTATAATAACTTTAATCTTCATATTACAACAATTTGCCTCGGGGGGAGGGTATAGCTCAGTGGTGGAGCCCATGCTTATCATGCATGAGGTCCTGGGTTCCATCTCCAGTACCTCCAGTAAAAAAAAAAAAAAATTTGTCTCAAGTTTAATACACAATTGAAAATTTAATGAAAGGTGATTTTGATTGGTAAAAATAGGTTGTCACAAAATTTTTTTCCAATGTTAAAGTCTTTGTATATAAGAGATACCATTGATGATAGGAATAATTTTAAAAACAATAATAATTGTATAGTTAGTTTAATTTCCTAATATTTAGTACTATTATGTAAGTTTCAAAGTTTTCCATATAAATTAGAAGATAAAATCTAAGGTGTCAGAAATGCAAGACAATGAAAGACACACAAGGAAATACAAGTTATCCTAAATGTGTCCCAAATTATTTGAATAAACAATTCCTGAGTAAATAAGAGTTTACTGTTACTCGAGGTTTAATTGTCTTACTAGAGACTTACTTTTTGCTTTAATTATTTAAAATGAGATATATCAGACCTGCATATGGAATAAATTTGAAAATATTAATATAAAATGTACCCAACTTCATATTGGAAATATTCATGGAAATGATGACTTCTTGGTTATCAGAACACATCTAAAACCTTTATTAAAATCACTTAAAATCAACTTATTAAGAGAGCAGAAAACATAAGAGGGTTATTGCTACTTTTTAGTGAGAACATGCAAATTCTAAAGCAAATACAGTAAATTTTGTTCAGATATCCTTACTGACATGACTGAAATTTTGTTGACTGGAAAATTAAATTCACCTTGCACTGAATTACTGCATTGTTTTATCAGTTAAGAAATTTTGTATCAGAAAGTCTTAGTTTTGTAAACCTTTTAAAATTCTAAGCGACTCTACATGAGGATGAGAACTATAATACATACACACATCCTCTGGAACAATGGCTTTTAATACAGGTGTGCATCAGATTGCACTTAGGACCTTTTCCAAATTCAAACGCCTGCCCTCCTCCACTCCCCATAGTTTAGAATCTCAGTGGGGTAGGGGCTGGGCACAGTCTGAGAAAGCTCCTCACATGATACTGATACAGTCCCGATTAAGAATCACTACCAGAGACAGTACTCTCACATGTGCATGTACTAGAAATGGTTTTCCTACAAATGCAAAAATGTCACCTGACAGGAAAAAAAAAAATCACACCTCTAAAACAGCCTCCCCAAATTACCTTTTCCTTCTCTGGGTTTCTTCTTTATACCTAACTCAGGAGACCCATTGGAAATTGGTGATTGCTGGGTCTTTGGTTTACGGCCAACTGAAAAAATAAGATATTGAAACCATACATTGAAAATAGGAAAAATAAAAGAAGCATGATAGCAGGCTTTGATAGCATATTACTCATGAAACTAGACATTAATTTATAGATTAATATACTCAGTATATACAAAAGTTGCTTTTAAAAGGAGCATTAAAAGCACTTCAGCAATTTTAGATTACATGAGTTAGTTGGTAGTAATCTCGATACGGCAAGTCAGGTATTACTGACCTATATTTAGGTGGTGAGAGCCTCAATTTGCTAACCTCTTTCCCAATAATGTAGCAATGAAAACAAATTGTAGTACAAGGCTCTTTGTTTTCTGTTCTAAAGAATTGTTAGAAAAAGCTTTACCTACCTATTGAAGAGGATCTGATAATCTGCGAAGCCCTTTGAGCTCAAATAAGGAAAAGTAAAAAATATTATTTTAAATACTCTCTACTGCTCTGAGCCAATCAATTCACCAGATTTAAGCATAAATTTCCTCACCTCAATGTGCAGGTACATTATAAGAGTAAACAATTCTTCCAGGTAATTACTTCATACATCTAATAAATGTGCCCTTCCTTTTGTTCCTCCGCACCTCTGCCATAAGGCTCTCAGACAGACTAGCATCCACAATGAACAAAAAAAGCAAGAGCTTTGCTTCTCTATAGTAAAGAAGGCATAAATCCAAAATACACTGTATTCAATCCTTAGCACTGATGGATGAATGCTAGCAGGTGAGGGGAATCCTCAAAAAAAAAAAGAGAGACTGGGAATATTCAAGTATTTCATATTTTCAGATTAACTATATTATTACTGATTTGGTGATTGTCATACTGCTGGGATTTCTGATGTCTTTACTCTTCATTAGCAATGATTATCTTAAGCTAAATTAAAGTGCCTTAACTGATATTTCAAAAAGCACAGATAGCTATTATATTCTAGGATTTCACTATGGTTAATTCTAATCAATAAGAAGTACGCTTTGGCAAAAATTAAAATAGAAAGTTCACTGGTCTCCTTATTGAAATAGAGCTAATTTATCAATTTAAGTAGTATTTATATGTATGAATCAGTCAGTAGGAAGACTAATATCTTTACTGTCTCCTAAATTCAAGCACAAAAGCCCAACTTCCTTAATGGGAAGGTTAGCCCCAAAAGGCTAATTTTCTTATAAAGCGGCATTTCCCAAATCATATTCCTTGAGAAATAGGTTATTCATCAGTAGGAAAAAGGGCTCTATAGTCAAATCAACTTTTAGTACACAGCATGCTATCTTCTCTTGGAGATTCACAAAGCACATTAGTATATTAAAAGCTGTAGAAACTTTTTAAAAGGTTCTACAATTAAAAAATAACCTACCTAACTTTCTATGTCCCAAATGTACTTAACCACAAATAAATAATTAATGGTGTTATATGTAATTTTTCAATGGTCATTCATTCAGACCATCTATTTTCAAACATATAAGATTAGTATTAATTGGCAAATTATTTCCAGGTCTATATCATATCACCACACAGGCAGATCAACTTGGTTATCTAGAGGTCTTGGTTCCCTAAATGATCTCAGCTGTTCACAGGCTTTTCCCTCTTCATTTAAATCTAAAAATTTCTTATTTTGAATAGTTCCTATAAGATACAACCAGCCAAAGGCTACAGTGGGCAGTGTATGCCTTTTATTTTTAAATTTTTACAGCAAGAAGTAATGCTTCCTTCTAAATTCTCTCATTGATGCCTTTCTCAAATACATATAATCTATACTACAAGAGGGAAGGCACTCTTATTCTTCATTGTATCCCTCACAGCAATGAACACAGACCAATCTGAAACACTGCTAATAAATGAAAGAAAATACCATTGTTTCCAACACAAGTTTTCCCTTATTTTTGCCTTTAATTTTTTCCCTCCCATTCTAAAATGTGAAGAAACAGATAGGGAAGGAAATGGAATTAGATGAGTGTCCTTCTGTATAGGATTTAATTTCTTTCAAGTTTTACCTTTGATTCAAACAGGAAAAGGACCCACAATGCCTATCTTCTCAGGATGCTGAAGATGGGCTGGAGCCCTGGGCCTCACCCATTAGGATCAAGTGAGCAGAAGTTTCAGCAGAAGTGAAATAGTAAGTGAAAATACTCTTTACCCAATGGTGAATTTATTCCACTTAGAAGTCCTCATCGGCAATCTTGGTGTTTTAAGGCAGAAGTTATGGGGAACAAAATTGGGCCTCTTATTTTAATGCCCACAATGTGTAGGAAGATAAGTTATGAAAAATAGAGAAAATAAAGAATAATTTTTTTTAAGTAACCAAGTACTTAAAAGGATCAGAAAGTAGAAAAAGGTGCAGTGAATCTCTGATCTTCCTTTTGTGTTTCGAAAACCTGCTATAATCTCATTTCAGGCAACTACTTTAAGGGCTCAAATACTAACTCCTTTGAACAGTATGAATACATTAAAAGGCTAAAAGACAAAACTAAAATCTCAGTTTGTTCATTTTTTTAGAATATCTAGTTAAGGTAACATCAATTATAAATCTACAGCATGTATTTCCTATGTCCCATGATGAGGAAAAAGATACCAGGAAAAATTTCACCTAATTTTCCAAAAATTTAAAATACACTCTACCTTTTTTCTTTTTCATTGGTTCATGGCTATCTGGTGATGTAGGAATAGGAGAGGTATCCATTGGTTCAGATTCTTCAGTTGACACCTCCACTACAGTTTCTGTAATGACATCTGGCCTCATAGCAGCATGGATAAATTCTGGAGTTGATACACAAGGAGGGACAAACACTTCCACTATAAAAAAAAGTTGAAAAATTAAAACTTCCCACCCCCATCAATGCTTCTTAATATGGACAATTCAATATTTAACAGAGGTAAGGTTATTAAGAATTCATCAAAGCAAGGTAAGAACTTGAATTTCATTTGCTGAATATACATTATGATCTAAAGTATGTAAGGAAATAAATGCAAAGAAAGTCAATCTGAAGCAAATGTTAATCCTATGGGTAAGGGGGGAGGAACATGAGTAGTCAACCCCCGTGCTTCACACTTTTACATGCTTTCAAACTTTAGAAGATTTTGAATTATTTGACAATTGAGAAAACATTTGAAAATAAAGTAATAGTATAATAGTGAGTTAATTATTTTCCTTCCATGTACTCATCATTATTCTCTAAGCAGGTAAAACATGCACCTGGTATAACACTGAAATAATTAACATGTTTTCAGTGAAAAGTAAGAACTTACAGTTCATTTTAAAATATAAAGAAAAAGAAAACTTGCTCATTACAGCCAATGAATACCATCTTTCAAAATGTTAAATTCTATTTAATGGAACAGTCCTGATTTTGGGTCACTAAAACAGTACATACAGATGGCTATTTAGTATTCTTCTTGTATGTAGTAACACTGCTCTTGCTCTGGCTTTCTTCTCATGTGCATGATAAATCAGGATATGACATTTCTTTTTCAATCAAGAGATAATTAATACATACTATCATACATTAATACATTGACCAATATGCCCTAATTTTCTTCTCATATCCCTGAATAAATACATGGAATTCCTAACTCTAAAAAGCATGGCTGATCTTAGTATTTACCGTAAATCCCTAAAATAAGGGTCAATCTTACTGTATTAAGTTAAATTAACATTTGGACATTAAAATTAGGACAAATTAAAATTAGGACAAAATGACTCTCAAAGACAGTCTTGAAAAGGGGGGACCAAAAGAATTTTAAAAAGGGAAATGTGCAGCCTGAAGGAGTGTGAGGAAACAGTGGAAGCCACCTCCTCTCTCTAGCACAGAGGTTCCCTGAAGATAATGCCCATTTTATCCCTGAAAAAAGGCCTGAAAGTGGTCATAGGTGGCAACTGCCTCCATCTGCCATTCACTTAAGGACTACAAACATTTACAATTTCCCTCTGGGTAAGGAAATAAGACATGATAGTAAAAATAGCAATTTAATAAACATTTGTCTATCTATAGTGGGCATTTTCTGTATCGTTTATTTTGAAAATTGAGTAATTAAACTATTTAAGATGTGGGAACTTGGACAAATAAAGATCAATTATTCCTGTCATAGGTATTTATGTATAATAGACTTTGAGAACACCAACAATCCCCTGGGTTTTTTTTTTTTAAGACTTTCATTCGAGATACCTGAAGGGATGTGATGTGTTTATTATAAAAAAAGAACAGTTCACATACCAGGACTTCTTGAATCTCTCAAGCAGGTAGGAGATTCCATATGAAGCAGGGCTTCAGCAGCTTCAATTGTCTTATCTGTACAGTGTGCATTACTGCTATGAACTGATGCTTCCACTGCAAGGGAAATTAGTTCTATTCAATAAAAATGCACTGACACATTACTAAATTAAAACACATTATGGTATAAGAGATAAATATAAATTAACTCTCACATGAATAACTCTAATATAAAGTCATTGATATATATTAGTCTATATAACTTATTTACAGAAATAATTTTAAAACCAAAACAATTTAGTATCTATACTTTGTAAAATGAATGTTGAATATAAACCAACTATTGAGATTGATTAGAAATTTCTTTATCCAAAGGAAAACAAAGACAAACCCTTGAAATTTGAACCCTGTATCAATTTTAGTCCAAAACTAACTTGGGGGAGGCAGCAGGGCAGAGAGGGATGGTTGTAGATTAACAACATCTATCTGGTCAATTACAATTCTGATATACTGCTACTAAAATCAGGGGTTTAATACCTAGCAGAATCAGTCAGAAACACATATAACTAAATTCATTTAACGAATTAGTTCAATTCTTAGACTGTCTTGGGTGAGTGCATGAGCTTTAGTACCAGAGAAACTTAGGAATTTTCTTCACAATAACCTGCTTTCTTCAGGATCTCACTAGATTTTACCTAGGTTTTATCCTAGGAAATTTAGAAAGTGGGGGGAAGAAAAAGAGAGTGCGTGTCTCTACAGTTCCCACCTCCCCCCACCATGAAATCTTTGCTAATTCTACTACCTTCTGCAACTCTCTTCTAGCACTCTGTTGATTAAATTATTTGTGAAACAGTGAAGTATCCAGCAGTGGTCTGGGTGTCCAGGTCTAATCAATAGCTTGGGCTCCAGCCCCTGCCCCTGCCACTTATAAGTTCTGTTACCCTAAGCCAGCAAATTAATTTCTTGTAAGGCTCAGTTTCCTTTTTCACCAAACAAGAGTATTACTTACCTTATACAGCTGTGAGAATTAAGTGCAGTGATTCCCTTAAAAACCTTAAACAATGCCTGATACATAGATAAGAATTTCAATAAACGGTGATAATTTCTTATCACTCCTATAAAATTATAAGCTCCTTGAGATGAGGGAGAGTTATCTTAATTCATTGATATATGTTACAATTCCTAACATAGACTTTTCATATAGTAGGCATACAAGTATTTCTTTTATGCACTGAAGTTAAGGACAATCCACTGACTTTATAGAAAAAGTGGCAAATTCAAGCACCCTAATGATATACTAATGATATACTAATTTCATATCCTGACTTATAATACCGAATATTCTACTTGGTAAGAGATTCTGAAACATGAATATGTAACAGTTTCTAACATGATAGATTTTTCTCAAGATGTCCTCTAATGGAACTAAAAGGAAGTATTTATACAAATTTCTTAAAACCACATTACAAATCCACAAGTTCCACACTTTAAAGATAGGAATCTTTTAAAACTGTTTCTAGTAACCATTTAATTGAAAAAAATTTTTTCACTCAGTCTCAAAATTCACCAATTGCTAAAGCCTCAGCCTTAAACACACCAGTCATTTGGAGAGCATTTATAAAAAAAAATCCAGTGACTGTTTTACCACCTGTTGCACATCATCCACACTCTCAACCAAGGTACCAAGTCTCTCCAGTTGCTCTTTCCATTTATGGAAATCTGCTCAAAGCTAAACAGTTCCAGAGAGGCAGCCAAACCTCTAAGTAAATCTATCTTTAGGTGACCCTGCTTACTCTTATCTGCAGCTTCACTAAAGCAAAGGATTCAATCAGTCCTTCGAGCTCAACTTTAAGAAATTTACTCTTAGTAAGTATAAAATATATTACCATTCTCAAGTAATTTTTTCCAAAGTACCTCCCTACAATACCCATATGCACTAAAGAACCTTGGGAAGCAGATTCTCAGGTTTTTAGGAACTTCATTCTCTTTGAAGTCCGCCTGTATTGCAATTTAGCTGTTGTCTTAGGTGCTATTAATAAACCATCTGGGGTAAAGTAATTCATTATGTAATTGTATTAAGACACATCCTAAAAATTCTACCATATTAAAATCAGTGATTTGGGTATTTGATAATAATACAGCAATAAGATTTTACTACTTTTTTTTAATGTTTCAAGTCATAAAACAAAATTTGCCAGAGTTATATATTATACTGCCGTTAGTTCTTATGTAGTTTGAGGTACATTTTCAAAACCACGATTTCATGTTGGTCATGTCAGTGAAAATTTTCTTGCTTGTATTTCTGACATCAGCCTCCCCTTTTCCCTTAAATTCAAAATATTTTCCTAAAATATTTCACATTTACAGAGTAAAACAAAATACATACAAATTTAAGAAGAATATTTAATTACTTATACTTTAAATTTAGAGAGTATCAAAAATGCATAAATTCTCTATGCATTATCAATCCAATAATACTCTATGTACAATCAACAAATGCTTGTTGAGGATTTACCATATGCCAGACGCTGTGCTATAAACCTGAGATACAAATTTGAATAGATCTCTGGCCTCGTGAAGTTTACACTAATAGTACAGAGTATCAAAAACATAAATGGAAATAAAATATTTCAAAACCAAATAAAGATGCAAAATAATTTAAAGTTACTCTAAATTAAGAGCTTGTTAAGGAGAGCATTTGTTTCCTTCTTTTTTTTTTTGATGCTTAGTAACTTTACTTTTTGTCATTTTTATTTACTAACTAAAATAACTCCAAGCATATTTTTTCAAAAAATGAATACCTGAGAGCTCACACTTAGATCAATTTATAATAATGTACTTATGACAGTTCCCAAGAATACTTCACCCGTTTTCTTAAAAGTGAGCACTATCTCTTTTTACTTTTGTTAACATAAGCCATCAAGCAGTTTTTGGTAACAGGAATTTAAGAAATATTTCTCCCTTCCGAGTTTACGTAATTTTTAAAAACTTTTCAAACTATTTTGTTCAGATCAATAATTCAAATACAATTAATACCAAAATTTTGCACAACTAAAGAGTAAGAATTTAACAGTGTTGTGCAATCAAAGCAAGCAAGGGCTGAAAATTCCTTAACTCTACTTAAAACTTGATTTACTGGTGTCTTTTTTCTATGCCTGTGTAGGAAATTTATTGGAGGGGGATAAAAAGCAACTCAGTTTAAAATTAGAAACAATGAAGTTGAAAGTAATCTGACAGGTATCATCTTCTAGAGCAGTTGGCTGGTCAGTATGCCTTGAAGAAATAAATTTCTAAACTATTCTGATTTTAATCAGTGTCAGAAAACTAAATTTGCTTATGCCTTCCTTTACTTTTGTAAGAGTCTTCTTGTTCCATTTCCAGCTTTCTAATCAACTGATGTTTGTATAAGTAGACTATTCCAGACTCACTCAACAGCTGTTACTAAATACCAAACTTGGTAATTAAGTCTGTCAAGAGACATACCTCTCAGCTTTGCAGAAGAGAATGCTGGCAATGGATCTAGTTCATAACAATGTTCTTAAAAGTCAAAAATAAAAATTAATAGCAATTTAATTTGAGAGCAATGGAAAAAAAATCAGAAAACACTTCATTAGGTGATAGTGGTATTCCCCTGCAAGCAAGACCATAAACTAATATTACAAGGGCATCACTCAGCTACCGCACCTGACTCACCACAGCTTATCCTCTAATGCCCCAGGGCTGTAACAGCAATAGGTGAGTGAAGAACACAAATGAACACAATGAAAAGGGGGAAAGGTCTAGGACACTCCATCTTTACTTGTTCCCCTTTGACTTTCTAATCAATAAAGCTGCTTTATAGGGTTTAAAAAGGGAAAGAGTATAAAATTATTTTAAGTAGAGCTGTCAAATAAAAATACATCAAGAGCCATATACAGTTTTTTAATTTCCAGTAGTCACATTAGGAAAAGTAAGCACAAGATGAAGTTAATACCTTTCACTTAACCCAGTATATCCCAAACACTGTCATTTCAACATGTAAACAACATGAAGTTTTTCACTGCTTCAGTTTTTACATTTAAATTAATTAAATGTTTTAAAAATTAAAAATTCAGTTTATCAGCTACATTTCAAGTACTCAACTGTCACATGTGGCTAGTGACTATGGTTCTGAAAAGTATAGGTTAACTTAAACTAATTCAGCTATTCTCAAACTTTTTTGGTCAAAGACCCTTTTACACTCAAATTGTTGAAGACGACAAAGAGATTTTGCTTATTTAAGTCCTATGTTAAGATATTTATCCTATTTGCAATTAAAACTAAGAAAACTAATATTTAAGAAAAATAACTTTTCTAAAACAAAGAAAAATTTAAACAGTAGCTTTATTTTACATTTTTTTGCAAACACATGGTAAAAAAGTTAGGTTCTCATACTTGCTTCTTCATTCAATCTGTTACATATCAATTCATGTAGTCACTAGAAACCTCCTCTGAACACTTGAAAAAATGAAAAGGCAAATAATGTCTTAGTGTTGCTATGAAAAAAATTCTGATTTCCCAGATCCCCTGAAAGGGTCTTGGGCACTTCCAGAATCCTCCATATCAGATTTTAGTTTTTAAGAACTGCAGCTGTAATTTACTATCAAGTGTAAATAATAAACCCAAATTCTATCCTCATTTTTCTCTAAGTTTCAGCTTCTAAACATAAACATCAGTGTGTAGATGAAAAATTATGATCCATTTCGGTATGTACAATAGTATTTTGCCCACTTACTTACAAAGATTTTTTTAAGCTTTTCATAAATATTTCTTTGCATCCCTTTGAACATTTACGCTATAACACAAAAAGTTTAAATAATTATTAAGAACAGTCTCCTGCCTGCCCCTAACTAAATTTGTCTCTAAAGGAAACTGTCTGATGTTTAATTATCCTGAATGACTAATTAAATACTGATGTTACTCTTTAAATCAATTTTCACATGAATTTTAGTACTAATGCTGCAATAAATTTTGAAGAGCAATTTCTTAAACACATTTTAAAATAGTTTTTTTTTAAAAATTACTGCTGTTCTTCCAGTTTTATTTCAACACATGCTTCATCTTTTCACATCCTGCTAATTTTTTTCAAATTGATGATC